CATCGGAATAGCCACACGTAAATAAAAGGCTGATTTTCGATCTGTCCGCTCCCTGCTCCGGCCCATTCTGCAGCGTCAATAGCATCATCCCTCCAGATCAGTTCTCGCCGTTCGCCTGACCTTCGGGTGCAGAAGCAGCCCCCGCATCTTCAATTCCTTCTCGGAAGCGCTCTATTGGATCCTGCTGAACATCGTCAGAATCCCCTCCGTCCTTCACCTACCGGACGACTTCCTCCCCATAAACCCGCCACAGGACAGCTCAGGGATCTCACTGGCCAAGCTTAAACACTGCTTCAGGAGTGAGGTGTCCCTCTCTCCAAAGAGAAAACGTTAGGTCCCGACACACGCTTAGAGTTCTTAGGCATCATCCTCGACTCCATAGACATGAAGGCGTCTCTCCCCTCCGACAAATTGCAGCGCATCCGGGACATCACCAAGTCATACTGCGAGCAACAAGTTATCACAAAACAACAGTTGCTCTCCCTTCTCGGACACCTCAACTTCGCCATGCACGTCATCCCCCAGGGGCGCTCGTTCATCTCCCGCCTCCTGGACGCAGCATCAGCGGTCGATAACCTCCATGACTGCGTTTTCTTAGACGAAGGCTGCCGCTCAGACCTTCGGTTCTGGTCCCTCCTGCTCGCCCACTGGAACGGAGTTACTTTCTTTTACGATGGCCTCGTGCGTTCCTCTGACTCAATGAGGTTCTTCACGGATGCCGCCCATCCATGGGTTTTGGGGGTTTCTTCCAGGGAGAGTGGTTCGCAGGGTCATGGCCCCGTCAATTTTTACCTCAAGCAAGTTCTCACTAAATCCAGCCTATCACCCATATCATACCCGGGGCATTCCTTCAGGATAGGTGCAGCCACCTCTGCTGCTAATCAAGGTCTCTCTACCTCATCCCTACAACAACTAGAACGGTGGTCCTCCTCCGCCTTCACAACCTTCATTCGTCCGGACATCAGCGCCGTACGGGCTTCCCAAAGATCTCTCAGACCCTAACTATGGTATCTATGCATATAACTGGTGGTGGCTCATAAACACATTCATAAGTATACATGTCTCACTAAGGTACCTGATATTCAAACTGCATTCCCGTCCTAGTCCGCGGGCCCCGCCCACAGGGAATAACGTCTCGTCTCACGCGCACCTACACGTAACGGGCTTCATCTCCTGGACACAGGTATCCAAATCCCAGGCCCTTGCTCAAATGTGTCAGTGTAAAATGTATATCCTGCAAAGTCACTTCGGTGTCGTGGCTCCGGGCCACCGTACACTTCGGTGTTAGTTACAAAACAAAGGAAATAAAGAAAGAGGAAAAAGTAAAGAAGGAAAAGAAAAAGAAAAAGATATATCCTGCGAAGTCAGGCGTGGACTCGGGCCACCGTACACTTCGGTGTCAGTTACAAAACAAAGGAAATAAAGAAAGAGGAAAAGAGTAAAGAAGGAAAAGATACAGATATATCCTGCGAAGTCAGGCGTGGCTGAAGGCCACCGTACACTTCGGTGTCAGTTACAAAACAAAGGAAATAAAGAAAGAGGAAAAGAGTAAAGAAGGAAAAGATAAAGATATATCCTGCGAAGTCAGGCGTGGCTGAAGGCCACCGTACACTTCGGTGTCAGTTACAAAACAAAGAAAAATAAAAATAAAAATAAAGAAAGAGTAAAGAAGAAAAATAAAAAAATATATATATATATATATTAGGGCCGGGACTTTAACGCGTTAATTAAGATTAATTAATTACACAAAAATTAACGCGTTAAAAAAATTAACGCATTTTAATCGCACTTATTTTTGCAACGCGGAACGTTTCTCACTGGATGAGTTTCAGGCGTACCGATTATACTGGAGCACCAACTAACGTTCATGACTTCAGACAACAACAAACCACAGTGAACAACAGTGGGAAATGTTGTTTTAAAAAACGGACGGATGGAAGCGTCGATAAGAGCACGGTTGTGTGCAAATTATGCAAAAAGGAATTCGCATACCACCGCAGCACATCAAGCCTCAAGTATCACCTCAATGCAAAACATATAGCAGCTAGCGTGGAAGCTAGCGTGGACGTTTTTTATCGCGTTCACACCAAAAAGAGCCGGTACTAAAATTAGTTCATGAGAACCTTTTTACCCCCACGAAAGTAGGGACTTTCGTACGGCTCTCTTGTGAGAAAAGAGCTATATTTCTGATTGGCTGGGCGGATTGCAAACCACGCCCCGTAAAACTCCCAAAAAGTTTTGTGAAGCCGCCATTTTATTATCCTCGCATTAGCATTATTAGCATTAGCCCAGCGCAGAAACGCAGAGAGACTAACTTATGGCAACACAAAATAAAACATGGGAGCGGTGGAGATGAGGAGGTGTCGGCGTTCTGGCGATTTACTCGGAAGGCTGCTGGGAGTCCCAGCAGCTTCTACTGAAGCCAGTCCCCAACTCCGGGGACTTCCGGCCGGGGACTTTGGGCGGCAGTATACGCCGTGAAGTGGTTTGCGGCCTGCCAGTAAACCCAAAGCAGAAGAAGAAGAAGTGACGTCAGCGGCTTCATTTGCCTAATCCACCCCCAGGTTCAAAGAGTTCTCATGAACCTTTGTGGGAAAAGTACTGCGGTGTGAATGCGCCTAATGGTATACTAAAATCCATGTGAAAAAAATTGCTTCTCACGGTTCTCAGGTCAAATATTTATATGTGATTAAAAATGCGATTAATTTCGATTAATTAATTACAAAGCCTCTCATTAATTAGATTAATTTTTTTAATCGAGTCCCGGCCCTAATATATATATATCCTGCGAAGTCAGGCGTGGCGGAAGGCCACCGTACACTTCGGTGTCGTAGCTTCGGGCTACCGTACACTTCGGTGTCGTGGACGTTGGGCCACCGTACACTTCGGTGTCAGTTACAAAACAAAACCGTTCGACCTTCGGGCGGCGTAGTCAAGCCCTGCTAGCCAGGCAGGCGACCCGCAGGTCGTTTTCAGATAAGACCGGCACTGATTTCGGCAGTCAGAGTCTCAGCATGACCCGTAAGCTCCGGCAGTGATTCCGGCCCAATGCCGCTTACATATGTTAATCTATTATCTTTCATTCCCAGATCACCAGTCACCCCACAAGGTAAGCAACTCAGTTCATCTCAGTATTTCATACTTCACTGGTTTTGGGGATTTCATCGGAGCGGTTCTTTCTCTCCTGAATGATTATCCTGCAAACCGGGGCCTAATCGCCAAACACCATTACATTCTCCTGTTGTATTATCGTGGCAATAATTTCATTCATATGACGTGTAAACAATAAATATGTAATTCTTACATCACGTCTCTCCGGTTTGAAATGAAAGCTTTAGCACAAGTTCAATAAGGAAGACCTAACACGAGTCACTTACACGTCACTCTATGGCTCCCTTCCCCCCTCATTAAATACGAGGGCGTCACCCCTCAGCAGCCAATCGCTGCACATGCTAAATTCCTTAAATGCCTGCTCTTCCTCCCTGTCAGTTGTCATTGCAGATGATCACATGCAACCCGCCTCCACCCCTCTCGCCTCCTGTCTCCTTCAGGACAAAGCTAAACCTTCCTCCTTCAGACCGGTCTCACCTACTCATCACCACCACCAGTGTCTAGACCCCGGGGATTTCATCGGAGCGGTTCTTTCCCTCCTGAATGATTATCCTGCAAACCGGGGCCTAATCGCCAAACACCATTACATTCTCCTGTTGTATTATCATGGCAATCATTTCATTCATATGACGTGTAAACAATAAATATGTAATTCTTACATCACGTCTCTCCGGTTTGAACTAGTAATGGTAAAATGCTAACTCACTTCAGGGTTTTAGGACTCGTCACTGCACCACTCTATTCGAACAGCTCTTATCATGGCTGCCACTGAAATATTTCCGGGTCATTTCACTCCGATAGGAAGGTGTGATTACCTGATTTCCATGTCTGCCCGATTTGCACTGCGCAAGCGTGAGTTGGTCTGCCATATTGGACAGCTACGTACGGCAATCCAAACAGGACATTTGACGTCCGTACTGACCTAATAATAGAGTTTTGGTCTTGAATCAACTTTTTTTTATGAAAAGTAATTTACCTTTTCCAGGAATCTCAACAGAAAAAATGTGTCCAGACTGATACATTTCTAATGATAAATCAATTAAAACAATTCACAGTTAAGAATGAGATATTAATCATGAATGCCATAAATGATTGCATACATTTACAGTTTCTTATTTTTCCAGTGTGAAGGCTGTCAAACAGAAGTAAAATATCCATTTCTCACTTATTCTAAGAATGTACTTAACCCACTAAAAGGATTTATTGTCAAATAATTGGGAAATTATTTTTGTAATAATAATAACTCATCTCTCTGATTCAGATTAATGTGGTCTGGTTTTTTTTCTTCTTTGTGTCGCTCTGTCAAATGTCCTACTTGGGTTGCTGTACGTAGCTGGTGTTATTGGTCCAATATGGCGGACCAACTCGCGCTTGCGCAGTGCACATCGGGCAGACATGCAAATCGGGTAGTCACAGAAGGTTCTTAAGCTAAATTGACAATTTGACCGCAACCAATGCTTTACCCAAGAAGGATATAATGCTGACCCACAATACCTTTGCGGCCGTAACATTTAACGTGAACCGAACATTCGTAAACAACCGATTGTGACTGACAAACCGGATCAAGGAAGTGCTTATTCAGAAGGTACTTATAAGGTACTTTTATGGTTTGAACCTTCGATACTATGGTACCAAAAGGCCAAATATGAACACGCTTAACTGTAAAATAATCAAATTAAGTTTCAGTGTTTACTGATTTACGGTTTCTTAAGATTCTTTCACATTTTTGAATGGTGATGTGCAAAGTCCTAGTGACGGATATGCGGCCCTAACAAGTTATTCACATGTTGCATAAAGTTGTATTTATCAAAAATATTTTCATACAATCATACTATTTGGCATTCATTTCAATTAATGAGTGGACAGAAGGAGTGTGAGCAACCACTTTCTTTCACTTTCATATTTTATTTCAATTCCAACCATGGTAATGAATACATTATGAATATGTTTTACACTGTATTCCGGGTTTATGAAACTCCTATATTGGGCTTTAAGAAGCTGGACAGCAGTAACAATTATACAACTATAATTCACCATTATAAGCTTTGTGAGATAGGACTTGCGGCAGGACTGTTGTGTATAACAGGGATTGTTTACTCATCGTTTTTTCATTTTTACATGACAAAAGCATAGGAACACAAAACAGCCACACTAATGTCTCCTTTAAGATAATTTATTTTGTACAGTAAAACAGAGGTTGGGAGTTTGCACTGCATCCACTGTGGCTGTGGAGAGGAACAGCAACCATTTCTCAGCGCTTGTGTGATTATTGAGTATCTTACAAAGATGGACAGTCAATCAACTAATAAGTTAATTGTGACAAAGTGTCTGATACGTGATGACATGACCGTGAACTGCCTCCGGTAATGACTCAATGCAGGTCAAACAAACAAGCATTGTGTGGAGGGTGCGTTCAAGGACACCACAACTCTCACAGTACATACTACCATGCCAACAACTAAAAACAGACATTGTTCCGTGGGAATAAACATTGTATAGATATATATATACTCTTATTTCTGTGCCAGTTGTTGTTTGTCCACATGATTATCGTGATGTGAGCGTTGTGGGGTCATTGAACGCAGCCCGCTCTGGTATGGTTAGGGCCCAGGTAGGGTGCGTTTGTTTCCGATTACTTGGGAGGCCTGTAGGCGATCTTCCTGCTCTTCAGCACAGACCACCTGTGTCTTTTCATGTAGTAAAGCAGAGGGACCACGATGCCGGCGCCCATCAGCAGCTGGGGGGGGGGGAAAGGGAGCAGAAAGATTAATCCCACGACTAAAACCACATTTACATCCCATTTGAACTTCATTTATTGAGTCTGTATGCAGTGAAAACTTTGATTAAACACATTTCTGATGCAGGTTTGGTTTGATGATAGTAAAGACAACGTTGGGGGCAAACACATGAGTATTTTTTGCACGCTTTTTTTGTATTGTGTTCAATGGAAACACGTGCAATAGTTCAACTTCTGTAACAGAGCAGAGTGCGTTCCACCTATCATATGCCAAGAAACAACCAATAAAAGCCAAGCTATATCTTTACTTCTGCAAATATTAGTGAACGGAAAATATGGAAAAGTTAATTTTAGGTAATTTAGTGCAGGTCTATAGTAACACCATATCCATTATGTGAGCACAGCTTCTATAGAGTGTGTAGTTGTGTATTTTACCTTCAGCCCCATGCGTTTGCGTTGGTCGTGCGCTGGCTCTCCGGCCCACTTCAGGAACGTACACACGTCCTTAGCAACCTGACTCATGGAGGCAGGTGTTCCTATGGCAAAAAACACACATCAACCATCAGAACAAATATTTTAACTGCAGCAAAGTTCAATACACGAGCCTAGAAACGATGCATGGATATGAAGTAGTTCAATCTCCATGCATAGGCAAAGATAGTTTGAAAAATCTATTTTTCCAGACCAATAGCAATTGATTGTGATGTATTGAAAATAAAACATCCAGGTTTTCTCTTATTCCCATCTTGCACATTGAAACGATTCAGTGACAATAAAAGCACAGTTCATTTGAAATCAGCTTTGCAATTCTTGTTGCATTTAGCATAACAATAGATAACTTGTTTATTAATATACAGGGCTCGACAGTAACGGTTGCCAGGTTGCCATTATTTAAAGAAATAAGGACAGCAAACAGCTAAATGTGCACCCCAAAATAGATAAATGTTAATTATTTGTTGTATTAAGAGTAGGGATGTAACGATATACCGAATATCGCGGTAAATAAACATCTCAATACCGTCGTGAGACTGACAAAATCTACTGCGATTAAAAAAAAAAATTAAACCTTTATTTAACCAGATGGTCCCATTGAGGTCATCGATCTCTTTTTCAAGAGAGACCTCTCCAACATGGCAGCAAGTAGGTTACAACATGAACATAAAACAACAGAACACAAAAGGACATCGTATTTACAGGGCTACATTTACACACCTAGAGACATTGACAAGTACCAACAGTATATTTATATCTCTGTCAATAAGCCTCACCTTCTTGGCAAACACTGTATTGTTTTTTAAGTGGTGGAGAGACAATGCAGTTTGACCCACTGCTGTCACCCATGGCCAAAGCATATCTCTCCGTCCCACTGAGGTGGCGTTAGACTTTTTCGCTGTCCGTCATTTTGACAGACAGGATCGTAAAATGTCCGTCATAATCCCTTATTACCCGTCGGGTCTGAACAGTTCACGGGGGGGGGGGCGGTGTTATGCCGTGTGTGCATGCACCTCGCGGGAGCACGCACAGCGTAAAGCAAAACCTCCCAGACATGTATTGATCTGTACGGTTTGGAAACTATATCATTTCCTTTTGGAGGGCATGCATAACACGGCATAACACCAGAGCCTCGCTGCGGGGAAACGTTGGCACTGTTCCGAGTTTGTTCTATACGTCAAAATGACAGACTGCTTTCAGATTTTTCCATCATTGTTAAATAAAATATTCGGTTAACGCGACCACTGCTGTCCCAGCAACATCAGTACCAAGCGAGAGAGTTTTTTCCAGAGCAGGGGATATTGTAAATGCCCAAACATCCCAGCTTAGAAATACCTGGAAATGTGGACATTCTCATATTCCTAAAAACCTGTCTGATGATGCTGAGTGAGTGACTAGTGAGTTTGAGTTGAGTTACTAACTCAAACTAAAGTGACACTTCATTTATTTTATTGCAGGGTCTGATTATTAAATGTCCTTGTTTATTTGTGAGATGCAGTGGCACAAAGAAAATGCCTACTTTGTTTGGTAGTACTATAGGTACAAACAAACTGGTTTTCTTGTTCCAGTCTGTTACTGTCACTTTGTTTTTGACACTGTAAGATACTGCTATCCTACTAAAATGCTGTACAAATCAGATGTATTATTTAATAAAGAAACATTTTCCGAGTAAAAAAAAAATAATTACATTTCCCCCCCCCCTTTATTATTCAATATCGCGATAAATACCGTACCGTGGACTTGTTATCGCGATATTATCGTACCGTGAGCTTTTGGTATCGTTACATCCCTAATTAAAAGTGATATTTAATTATTGTTGTGACCAGTCGGAACCTGATACTTAAGTTGCACGTGCATTGGTGTGATTACGGAGCCAGAAAGCGATGCACGTTTACTCGCGTGTGCCCTCTTATTATACATCCATGGGTGCGCCGTGTTTTTTTTTTTTTAAATGGCAAAGCAAATTAAGATGTTTGACTGTGGGGTAAAAAGTTCGGCCAACCCGTCAACATCTCAAACGAATGTTGAAAGTGATTCAACTGATAAAGCGTAAGATGAACCCGAACGAAAAGCAAAGAGGAAATGGGTAAAGTCTTGGGAGGCGAACAATTCTGCTCCGTTGTGCATTCGCTCCTGGTAAAAGTTCCTTCAAAATAAGAGTCCCGATCTTATTACTACAAAAATAAAAGTGAAAAACGAAACTTTACCACAGGAAAATATTGGCATACAAATATAATCACTTCTATAAAAACACATTTTAAATATAGTTAGACATTAGGGATGCTCCGATCGCCAATTTTGGGGCTGATCGCCGGAATCAATATCGCCCGATACCGATCCGATCGAGTGGGCGGGACCTAAATGGAAGATTTAAACATCACTTTAAATCTTCCATTTAAAGTGATGTTTAAAACTCAGTTAATTCACTGGAGCTTCCACAAACAACAATCAACTTAATTATTACATTCAAATGATGTACATTATTCATGTTTACATTCACTTTGGATAATAACACGGGAGAAATTAGCGGAAGCGCTCTCTTTTCCTCTCCCCCTCTCTCTCTCTCTCTCCCGGCCACACAGCGGCTTTGGAAAAAGCTCGGAGGTGGGCGTGTCTGAAGAAGCTTCCAACGCCGCTGTGTGGACGGGCCGTTCCTCTCCTGACAGCCTGTCAGTATCTCATGCAGCTCACTGATCCAGTAATGAGTGACCCGACAGTGAAGAATAAATATATTTATAATAACTAGTTTAGCTTGTTCCAGAGGTAGATCAAATAGCTAAGTGTGTTAGGTCTAACTCTCAGTGTGTGTGTGTTGCTCCGCTCACCGGTCCGTCACAGCGGGCGGAGCTGCAGGATTTCTGCTTCACACACGTTGCATTCCGCTATTTTACTGACTTTTTCGGACACCTTCAAATAATGCCAGACCGGTGAAGACATTTTGGCGAGCTTGTTTTGCCGCACACAGAGAAAAGTGTCATGTATTTTACGCCATGCGATCGGCTCTCGTGATCGGCATGTTTAGAGAGCACCGATCGATCGGTAGAGAGTGAGTATCGGCCGATCTCGATCGGTGACCGATCGATCGGAGCATCCCTATTAGACATATTAATAAATAATTTACAGCATTAATATTTATAAAATCTAATTCTTAACTGTGAATGGTTTTCATTTATTTAACATTAGAAATGTATTAGTCTGGCCAATCTAAGACTTCAATGCTGAAGGGCCAATGGATCTATGGTGGGGGTCAGCACAAAGGTCAAGAAAACCCACATTTGAAAGGGAAACAACGGATGATCAAAAAACTAGTGACTTGCTCAATTCATTTGTGAGGGATCTGTGAAGAACAGGATAACAGCTGCACTACTGGTGTTTTGTATACCAGCAATTGAGGGTGGACAAGTTTCCTACCACTTAGATTTCAAATAATTATTTTAATTACTTATTGTAAAGCATTTGAACATTCTTTTGTGTCACATTTTCATTATTAAGTTGATGTATAACTGTATAGTATCTTAGTTATTTAAAATATAAGGTGACTAAAAATGGCAACCGTATTTTCAGTTTTGGCAACCAAAAGCTGATGCCTGGTTGCCAGCCTGGCAACCACTTTTAAAAGTTAGAGTTGAGCCCTGATATAATAACTATTGCAAGGTGCCACGGCTGCAAACATTAGCATTGCTCATTTGCTGTCACCTTAAATACAGTCATCTAAAATTCAATTCGTTTTTTACAAAAAAAGCAAAATAGTATCTGTTATATTTGAATTGTAGTTCTGACTCATTTATTTGGATCCTTCATATTCTTTACTTCTACTGTTGGTATTTGTATAATAACCTTTTGTTATATTCCTTTATTTAACTGTTTACTGATGTGCATTGCCTGCTGCAACACAATCATCTCCACATGGCATACTTTCTCAATGTTGAAATGTTGCAACTCTTTCAGTGCCATCATGTTGTGTTTCTACACAGATCACTATTTTAACTAGGATTAGTTGATTGAGCAGCTTGACCTCACAATCAACTACACGCTTTACATCTCAACTCACCATCCTCAAACTCCAGCACCTCATTGTAGATTGGGGCGGCCATGCCGATGGCCTGGCCGACGAAGTAGGGGTTGTAGTGGAGCCCCTCCCTCACCGCCACTCCTGCAGGAGGCTCACAGTATCCCGTCAGCAAGCTGAACACGTAGTCCTCTCCTCCGTGTCTGCGGGAACACTACACGTGAACACCAGGTGCATGTGGAGATCAGGTGTGAGCGCTCTCAGACTAAAAGTTGTTAGTTACCTGGCATTGATGATGTAGCTGAGGTCGGGGGGCAGCGCTCCGTTGTTGGCGGCGCGGGCAGCCTCGGGGTTGGGGTATGGTTTTGGGAAGTAGTCCGACAGCTTTCCAGGGCGGGTGAACATCTCTCCGCTGTCATCAGGACCATCCACCACCTCAGCCTGAACACAACACACCATACCTCTTAAAGTATGAAACCTAACACACCATACCTCTTAAAGTATGAAACCTAACACACCATACCTCTTAAAGTATGAAACCTAACACACCATACCTCTTAAAGTATGAAACCTAAACACAAAACATTTTCCGCATGGTTCAACCCCTCTCTCACACACACAGCCTCACCTCCTCAGCCATGGTCTTGACCTCAGCCTCTGTGTGCGACACTCCCACCAGATTTCTGAAGGCAAGGTACTCCATACTGTGGCAGGCTGAGCACACCTGCTTATAGACCTGGTAACCACGGCGCACGCTGCGGGGGGAAGAGAATAGAGGTCATCCTCTACAAAGCACCACGGGGAGCGAAACTAGGGATGACCTGTTAGAAATGTCTCAGACAATCCCAATGTTTAGTATAACAATGTGGTTGACTTACTTTTGAACATTATACAGTTTAAAGTAATAAAGGAATTCTGAATCTGATGGTATTGGGTTTCCTCATTGTGAGTCATAATCTATTATAACCTGTCATGTTTGGGATAACAAATCATATTTTAGACCCTCCAGAAAAACGCGGGCAAAAATCCTTGATTATGCGATCAAACATGCAGGTTTGATGTGATTTTATGCGGTGAAATTGCGGAAAGTTGCGAAATATGGTAAATATGCGAAAAAAATAAATATTGGGATGTCTTATTTATTTATTCTCTCTCACACACAACCTGCCACTAACGTTAAACCCCTTTACTATACAATTAAACACATTCAATGTTTATTTATCGTAAAAGCAATTGGGCTATTTTAATCACACTCTCTCACACACACACACACACACACACACTTCTCCGCCTCATTCTGTTTTCATTTACTCGTTCGTTATCTGACCAGCTTCAATCTTGTAGGCTTCTCACCTCGTTTCTTGTAGCCCTCAAAAGGGTTTTGGAGGTTGATGCCTCGGTGAACGCGAGTTGTTTGGCTTTCTTGTCCGCAGCAGTAGAAAGCATTTTCGAATGTTTGAATGAATCAAAGTGGGTCGTCACCGTCGATGTGATCTTATGCTCCAACACACAGTTGCACGGGGTGCAGAATAGTTTCCCCCCACTTTCGTGCAAGACATCGGGGTACTGCTTTGCCCGGTCTTTAGCAGAAATGTTCGTCGGTAAATTAGATGGATTCGGTGTTTTCTCTCGCGTGTGAGCTCCACACGTTCACTCTACGGTGTTGTTTACCTTCTGTGGTGCACGAGCTGATGACGTCATCATCACTTCACGTCAAGACCTGGTCAAGACGAGTTCACTTTTTTTCTCTCTCAACTCTGTGTGGAAAAATGCGGGGATTATGCGGCCTTTTAAAAATCTGCGCCATTTTGCTGATTATGCGCGTTTTTCTGGAGGGTCTAATATTTAATAGAATTAATTCGCCATTTATCAAATGAAATATGAAAATAATAAATATACAGAACAAGCAGATTAAGCAATGTATAAGGAATGAAAAACAAAGATGAACAGAGACAGTGCGCTCAGTTTTCACACTTAAGGCGAGACACCCCAGGTGAATAGGGTAATTTTTTTAACTTAAAGGTATCAGCTAGAAATATCTCCAGTTAATTACTTACAATAAGGCAATTGTCTTTTGTATTACAAGTTTTCTGAAATAGCATGTTTAAATATGCAAATTATCCATTATCTCATTAAATATGCACATATTTTAACACATTTCAGGAATCGAAAATCTGAACTTTGGATAAAGCCAGATTCAAAATTCTTGTTTCATTTTGTAGTCATATTAGTATCTAAGGCTTTTACAGAAGGGATATTGGATATCTCTTTTTATCACTCCATAAATCAGAAAATACTGTCAACAGCCCTAAAATATCAATTTTCGCCATGTTTTTAGGTATACAATGTTGTATAATTCAGGCTATGAATGATATATGAACAAACCCTTCTGTAAAAGCCTTCATAATATTGATAGGAATATAACTGGAAGGTTTGGTGTATGTACGTGCTACTGAAGTTGAAATTTCTAACTCAGAGTAGGAGAAAAAACTCATTTTGAGAAAAGGACCTTTAAAGATTGCAGTGAGGCGCTAGCTAAACCCTCCTGTTCTTTGGATGACAGCTTGCGCATCGACGCACTCCGTGAAGGTATTTCATGTTCAGGGTCATTTTTTTTGTATAACCTTGCTTCGTGCAAGTGACAATTGTTGTCGTCTTCTCTGTGAACGTTTTTTTCGCCGTTCTTTTGGCATTTTGAGATTTCAATTTCTAGCTGAAAGCTAACCAGGAAGTGTTTTAGCACACCACGTGACGCATCTGAACTAGGGATGTGCATCTCCATCACTGAGGCCGATGCGATGCGCATCTCGATACGTTGCCACGATACGATACATTAACGATACATTTGAAACACTAGGCGATGCGATACGATACGATTCACCCCTGTTGCGATACAGTTCGATACGATTTGATTCAACATTATGCGATTTGGTGCGATACGATGCGATTCAACACGATGCAAAAATAATGATACTTCAATATGGTACGAGAGGATTTTTGTTTTATTCCTTATATGCAGCAAATCATACATTAACAAAAAAGTGCTTTACATATTTGGTACTGCACATCCCATCATGCCGTTTATTTTGTTACCTTTAAAAGCTCTCCAGAGTACAATTCTATAACACCTCACAGTCCACATCCAACAATGTAAGGATGCATTGCTCATGATTAACAATGTGAAAATAACAGCTACTATAGTGCAACGCCCATACAGCTGCCAGCCTGATGTGCTTAACACTCATTCATAGGCTAACTCACCAGTGAGCAGAAAGCGGTGGGTTCTATATGAACAATAAAGAAAATAACCTTTCACAAACAGGTATTTCATAACTGCTTACAGTGAGGAAGACATTTAAATTATTATTGGCCGTCACAGGCTGCTGTAAACTAAACACCACTCTCTCTGACAGAACACCTCACTGAGTGATTTCACTCATATGTCTAACTTTCAGGTTTCTCTTTTCAGCCGCAGACCCCATGTCGACTCTTTATGTACGTCGCTAAGTTCCTCGTACTACTTGTGTACTTTAAATCGGCTCTGCATCGTTAACAATTTGCGAGCGATTTTTCAAGTTGACCGTCTGTGCCGCGCACATATACCATCAGGACGTTACTGATGGGGTGCGGCTGCGGAGTGATACTGTGTGTATGCAAGCCCGCATCTAGGACGGATCTATGTATCATGGCTGTAGACCTGTTAAGTAATAAAGATACCTCATACAAAAGTCTACGGATACCTTATTACTCTCCATGACCTGCGGTCAACTATATAGCATAAAGGACTATTACACCGTCTTTCTTGAACAATCCGAAGTGTTGCCAAACGTTTGATTTGTAGGTATTTTTCAGTGCGCTGTGTTTCTCTTTCTCCTCGACTTCCGTGTGTGTTGATAACTGAGACTCTCGGCCTCCGTAGTGGCGAAGCAAATATCAAAGATCGTCTCTGCTGAGCGTTGACAAGATGAGGGGATTTTATATGATGAATCGGTTTTTTACCGATGCAAAGACGCTACGCAATCGATGCATCGCGAGTTCAACCCGGTTCAACCCAAACTGTAGCCGATGTGCACTCTTTCAACCGGTGCACTCGCATCTTGAACGTTTATGCCGGTGCACCGATGCGAATCGGTGAATCTTAACATCTCTAATCTGAACGAATCACGTTGTCAGAAATGGACACCAGCCAATGAGATTTCGTTTCTTGTTTTAAGACCCCTTTGTACTTTCACGATTGGTTGCTGATACAAAGGAAATGACCATATTTGGATCCGATGAGATTGTGCAGGAGAGACGCAGCTTTCCAGCGATACCTCTGTTGACATGGTGCACACAGCGGTCGCGGTACTTTATGTTACGTTAGAATGCTAACTTTTGGTGAATTTAGGAGAAATCTACAGACGCAAATAGACAAACTATAGTAAAATAAACACTTAAATGTGTATTTTGTACGTTTTCCTTCCAAAAGCCTGAAAGAAAACATGTTATGGAATCAAAATAGCACAAAATCTCAAAATTGACCAGTACTTGAAAAACGATGTTTTTGCCTGCCGTGTCTCGCCTTAAACCAGATAAAAGGTTTTTTCCTAAATGCGATTTCCCCAAAATATTTACGGGAACTCTGCAACAGTACTTGAATCAGTAAAACGTTTAATCGGCTGCTGTTATCTGCGAATGTCACGTTATTTACATTGGTGCATCCCTAGCCAGAACACAACAGACATTAAAACAGGGGCGCACAACAACACAAAGTGAGACAGGAGAATGTGTTTTACTGTGTGTGTGTTTGTGTATCACACCTGGCGTGGTCCAAAGAGGACAGAGGTCCAGCGTGGCTCCATGGGTAATTAGGGGGGTGAAGCTCCAGGTCGGAGGCTTTGACGGACTGATGCAGCATGAGAGCGAGCCCCGCCCCTCCGGCAGTGACCACGCCTAATGTGCTCAGGGCAACCTTCCTGCTCCGAGGCAGGCTGCCGAAGGACATGTTGGCCTGTGGAAGAGAGGGATGAGCAAAGCATCCATTTGAGTACAGTAGTATTGGGTGATATGCCATGCTACCGAATGTGTCCAACTAGTTTCGGCAATAGCGTTTTCACAACATGTAGAAATATAAATATTTTCAGATTAAATTGTATCAAACAGTGCAACATTCCCATCTGTGATAAAGGACTTCTGATTTCAGAAATTACTGGTTCTCTCAACCCAAATGTATTTGCTGTTTTTTTCTGGTTTGAACATATCATATAAACACTTCAGTTGTCTCTGATGCTCATTTTATTTGCTATTTTCTAAATTATAATAAAAACAAACTCATTGTTAATAGATCAGAAGCCATTAAGGGTGTAACGGTACACGAACCGAAGGGCCCTTCGGTTCGGTACACATGTACATATTCTCAAATGATACTATGAGTTCACCTCCAGACACAGCTTCACTGAAAGCCTGTTTGCTATAACAGTGCCCTTCCTCAGTGATTGTCCTTATGAAACTGTCCTACACACACACACACACACACACACACACACACACACACACACACACACACACACACACACACACACACACACACACACACACACACACACACACACACACACACACACACACACACACACACACACACACACACACACACACCACACACACACACACACACACACACACACACACACACACACACACACACACACACACACACACACACACACACACACACACACACACACACACACACACACACACACACACACACACACACACACACAGAGAGAAGTCTAGTGGACTGGTGGTTAAGATGGATATCACAAGCCATTATCTTAACCCCTGGATTTATTACGGACCTTTGTTAGAAACTCTGTGCTTCATCCTTTCCGGTCTGTATTTTACCACTAGTTTACACTGACGGAAATACATGAACAATGTAAAGATAATATTGTTTTAATGTATACCATTCGATGAGTAGCTGCTTACCAGCATATATGGATACAATGCCATTCTATCAACCAAGAGCTGAAATGATCATTCAATTAAATGTACATCAATTGACAGAAAAATAATCCCCAAACAGCTATTCAAGACATTTCCCGAGCCATAACGCCTTACATGTGTTGCTGCTACATAAAAAAGGCAAACATGTCAAATCTTGCCCTCGGAAATGGTGGTAGATCCGAATAATAATCCGCTGATTAATCATTCAATAAAGTAAAATGGAATTGCAGCCCTATAAAATAAGGAGCAGACCAAAAGTAATCACTAAAGAATAGTACACTAAGATGGCTTTTATCCAGTCATTCTTTAGAGTTATTATGAAATAATATAAACAACCTTGACCAGCTCACACACAGGGTAAACTGATCAGTTTCTGTGTGTACCCCAGGCAGGTCACAACTGATATTACTGAGTAAATGACACAAGGACATTTAACCTTCATATATTTACCTCCCCTGATTAAAAATAGAAAGCTCAAACTTATCTCAGGATACTCTCACAGATGACATTTAGCCGTCCGATGAAGGGTACAGCAATACACGGCTAAAGACAGCTTTCTCACAGGAAGTCCTTTCAGTCCTTGAAATGCTAACTAGTTAGCAAGCCGATTAGCTAGACTACTTTAGCCGATGATAGCTTTGACTTAAAATGAACACAACATGACTTGCGAAACACTAAAAACGATTACAAACACTATGATAAAACACTCTGGATTGCATTAAAGTATTGATGCAGTGTTAACTACGTTTTTCGTTTTATTTTACTGAACCTGGACGTTTGCCGGGTGGTTGACACGACTTGAAGAGCTAGCTAACCGACTAGCCTGCTCCAGTAAGCGATAGCAACCAGGTTTCCTGTATAGGCTATTGATGGGTTCCTATGTGGCGTTTGTTTTCAGAGGTATTCATGCCATATTGATATCTACGTTTAGAGAGCGAACACATATCAGACAAGCTAATACAAGAGCTGTGCCGACATCCTACGAAATCTGTGGGAACACGAGTGACCTTGTCTCACCCCACTGACAGATCCAGGCTAACATTAGCCCGGTGTCAGGACACCCATTCATAACTGTTAAACTGTTCTAATAGCACCCTGCCTTTAGAAACAGACCCATCACTAAAGTATCGACCTACCACGGGGGTCTTGACAGATTTCGATGTGTTGAGGAGGGCTCTCCCACTCCCCGATAGCACCACGACTCGTAGCGCAGCCATCTTCTCTGCGTTCCTCTGAGCGGAGGGAGCACTGACGAGCGCGTAAAACCAAATGATCCTTCGCGTCGGAACCTCCAAAATAAAACCATCATGGGTGAAGCGCATGGTTTTCAGCTAGGTAACAATTTACAGAATAAAACCACTGAGGCCGATTGCCATCACATCAACTGTCGTAAGAATGAGAAACTATAATAGTATTGTTCATAATTAACATATAAACATACTCATTGCAACACAGCTTTAGGTTTGAGAGTAGTTGTAATAGCTGACCTTTGTCCCTAAAGCATCACAATTTTTTTTCCTTTTCTCCCAGTGTCAAGTCTACTCTTATTTTGAAGGTCACCTGACCGGAACTACATATCCGGGCTGATTCAGCTCTAACTTGACGCACCATTTACACAACCATGTTTCGCATTGTTAAGTAACATCTTACACAACAAACTAAAACATTGAAAATATTAAACTGCCATCAGCTATTTTGTCAAAATAGTGTTTTTAAAATGTTGTATTGTGTGTTATACGTCCGATTTGAAGGTTATTTAAAAAAAAAAAGTGTTTTAAGATGTGTCTCCATCCAGCACATGACATCAGCACATTTCACCTACATTGCGAAGTTGGTGTTGGTAATATAATATGTATTTAAAGAGCCTGTGACAGCATCCCAACAACTGTTGTGCAATAAAATATTGGGCTACTAGTCATCTCGAACCGTCAGTTTAAAAAAGAAGGTGCGATACCGTTCCGATAAATATCAATAATTTCGAACATCGCGGGGAAATTCCTTCGACTCATTTTGAAGTTTTGGGGGAAGCCGGAAGTGACGTCAATGCGGGAACGCTTCACTGTCCGGCGAGAGAGCTAAACACGGACGAAGTGTGTTGTCATGCGTAGAAATTGTGAATTACTGAGTTTAGGCACGTTAATAACGTTGTAATGAAGTTGACTACAGTATATTCATATTTGTCAGTGCTTTCATGTAAATTCGGTGAACATAAACATAAATGATCGTGGTGAAGATGATGATTAAATTAGGATTCAAAATTGGTAGTGAGAGCTGCTGAATTTCCTCCCGTGGGATATGTGGTATAAAAACAAATCGATTATTTTTGTAGTTGTAAACTCAAGTGGATGAAACTACATTTATTAGTGCTTTCATGTCAATTCGGCGAACATATGATACATTAAATGATGATTTAAAAATCGTTTGTTTGAGCCGGTCTGTATTTCCTGATGAGAAAACAAACCGATGCTTTTTGTAGTTGTCCACCAACATGGATTAAACGTGTGGTTTTTTTTACCACAATGTTGGGGAAATTAATGGATAAAATGCACGCATTATTATTATTATTATTATTCCCACTCCGATCGGGACACTAGGTCCACCGTTTCCCCCCAGCGAGGCTCCCCTGTTGACAGTTTACGTGGGCTGGGCTCAGGCCCGGCTCCAAGATGAAATGACTGAGGGGGCTGTTAAAAAATCCGAGGGGGCGATTTTTTTTTCACAACAACGAAAAATACTGTCAATGAATTGACACACCGAGCTTTTTTCCTTCTCACTGCTCTACAATCTCTTTGCTTCTTTATTTTTATTCTGGATTTACCCCTCTCGTTCTGTTCTGTTCCTCTGATCTTTAATAACAGATAGTAGATAGTTGATAGATGGCTGCACTTTGGTTAACAGACTAACATTGATTTCCTCAATTTATAAATGGACAGACTCTGTAATTATACCATAACCTTTTCTCCTCTATCCCTTAACTCGTCTTCCTATACAAATTTACTTACCTCTAGTCAGGTCAGGATTAAAGAAACATTAATCTGGTTGATTTTCTATTTTCAGGATTGAATGTTCAAACCAAGACCTAAAACCTGGCATTTCATAAGAAAGTGACTAATATATAAACCAAATGTAATATTGGATCAAACACTACACCAAATGGACAGACACAGATTACAATTCAAATAAAGTCCCCTGGTTTGTCTCTAGAGTCTAACTGCCATGAGAAAAATAAAATCAATGTTCCAAAATCCGTCACTAGATGTCGCTCATTGTACCAATACGCTTGATATAATACATAACATATTATTATTCTAGTAAAAGGGCTCGCTTTGGCAAAAACCTGATCCATACAGGCAGCCCTAAATAATAACAAGTAACCATCATGTGTGGTGCTATCTGTAGTTGTCTGTCTTATTTTTTGTTGATGTCATGTTTTTTTCACCAGGGCCGGCCCTTGGCATAGGCAGTATAGGCGAATGCTAAGGGCGCATCAACCCATAGGGGGTGCCAAAAATTGGGGAGAAAAATTACATCATGTATTTTTTAGCTGCCCGGATTATAACAGACTCATTCTGAAAACTGCACTGGAACAACATAACATCAAGGACATGGATTTCAAGTCAATATACAAAAGTAAATCAAGAAATGAAGTAAACAAGCTGATCTTCAAGTTCCTCAAAAACGCTGGTCTGAGGACAAGGATTTAATATAAACATTTAATAAATCAACAGTAGGTGGCGATATATGCTCCAAGTGGAAGCGATTCGCCATTAAAGAAAGAAGAAGAAGTAGTAGAAGAAGAAATACGCTAACGCTACAAACAGGCACAACACTGTTACTCTGTTTTTACTGACATATAACATTTGATTTCACCTTGCTCTATTTCTTTTAACGCACGTTCAAAAACGGGAACATTTTCGGGAGTTTCAACCGGGTACCAGCCACCGAAAACGGGAACTCTGCCCGGAAAACGGGGACGTTTTGGACTGTGTTTACAGCTAGCACACACGCTAACATAAGAGCTCACTTGGGGTTGAGGCTTGTTTACACGTTGCTTGACTGCCTGCCCACATATCTGATCCAAACATAGTAACGTGTATTGGGGGAAATAATTATTTAAAGTTATTTGATAATTGTGATATTTATTGTACTTTTTGATGGATGAATGATGCTCAAAGTGAGGGGGCAAAGAATACAACTGATGAGCGTCAAATCCCGCCGCAGATGGGAATACATTGCAATCAGTTGAAAGCTATTTGCGTCCCTTTATGACGCTGAAGGAGCCTAGGAGCATCACAACTGGACGCCACGGACACTGACCAAACGTTCTCCTGGACACTTAGGGAGTGAGAGTGTGTTGTTTATACCTAGGCCCTCTGACCCCCCACCCCCCTTCCCTCGAAAAAAAAGAAGAGATATTACGTCAAAGCGTATACTTCAGCGGAATATCAAAACAGTGGCCCGGGGTGCAAAACCCATCAATGACAGCGACCCTCTACCACACAAAACAACACCATTTATATAAACAACTATCATGACAGGGCACCCACAGCCAAGTAACAATTACAAATGAATTAAGTCGGCACGGCGGCCCACATTGAAAATGACTTAGGCCTACCTCTGATGATCAAATCACTTAAACACAAAGTCCATTCTCCTGTCCTTTTGGATGAACCACTTGTATGGGCATAGATATGTCTCATAATTATTTGTGTGAACATAAAAATAATTTGTGTGTAAATATGTGATTTGTAAATGTAAAACACCATCCACAAATGCATTTAAAAGATTTGCAAACTCACAAATACATTTGCAAATATAAAACGGATCTGAAAATACGCTAAATATTTTTCACAAATAAAAAAAAGATCTGTGAATATCTCTTTAACATTTACAACTTTCGATCAGGCATTTGTGAATCCATTTTGTATTTGTCGACCAAAAATGTGCTTGCGGATCTCAAATCTCTGCTCGTGGATCTCACATTTCTGCTTGTGGATCGTCTTTTTACACACACGGAATTTTGAGACATATTTTCCACCGGTCTCGGCTAAAATCTACTCGTGTCACTCGGTTATTTTCGGAAACCACGTGATGGCCAGCTGATGACGACAGTTCCGCATGATTTCAAAGTAAGAGCATGATGGTTTGTTTAATGCTCTGTTTTTTTATTATAATGAACAGAAACTTTGAAAAAACAAAAAAACAATACAGAAGCATTGCACACAATTTAAACCAATCAATGTTGCGTAATTAACAAGGATAATCTGGGTTTTTTTAGTCGATGATTAGTGCAGATATCACTGTAAAATCAATCGACAGTAAGGGGAATACTTACTTCCGGGTGTACAATTCTCCGTTATCCAATGGGAATGGACGCTCACATTGCCTTTAAGGGCAGCCGACACAAACGAATGCCGTGCTTCCATGAGCGTCCAATCCCGCCGCAGATGGGAATACATTGCAATCAGTTGAAAGCTATTTGTGTCCCTTTATTAAGCTGAAGGAGCCTAGGAGCGTCACAACTGCACGCCACGGGACCCTGACCAAACGTCACTCCTGGACGATTATGGAGTGAGAGTGTGTTGGATATTCACTCTTAATAGTTTGATCTGTGCTCCCTATAAAGGCCGATCGGGATAACTGGATCTGATCGATATGGACATAAACACGAGTGAAGTGTTACCGGAAAGGAGAGAGAGATCAGATCAGCTGCTGCATAATCACCTGAAGCCCCGCCCACTGTTTCGCGCGCTGCATGAGAAACTGACGGGCTGTCAGGAGAGAGAGGGAGGGAGAGAGGAAAAGAGAGGATCCGTTTCTCCCGTGTTATTATCCATAGTTAATGTACACTTTTGAATAATGTACTTCATCTACAAGTAGGCTAGTTTGAATGTAATAATGATGTTGTTTGTTGTTTGTGGAATTATTTATTGAAAAATGAATCTGAATGTTTCGATCTGTTACGATTATAAACTGAAGCAATATAAAAACGACTCCCATTAACTGAGTTTTAAACATCAGCATATCCGGTCATAGTCCGGTAATTATCTGCTAACGGAAACTCTGCTACACAATTCTTATTATTATTATTGAAACATGACCGGTAAGTTTCAAATTTGTCCGTAAAAAAAAATTCTGTCCGGACATTTGACCGGCGAAAAAAAAAAATCCTAGCGGAAACCCTGCTTCGGGGGGTGCTATCATTAACCGTACACTTTATTCTTCTCTCTCTCAGTCAGAAGATATTGCTTTCTCCGTCATGTTGTTTCTATAGCAACAACAACTTCCTGTCACCAGCGTAAACT